TTCACCCAGTTTGTGTAGAGTAAGATGCATCCTGTTCCTAAATTTCATGGACATTGAATGTCCATTCTTCCGAGGACAGATGCTTTTAGCACATCTGTGCCACTTTTGGAACATGGTGGTAGGAGGTCACTGCCTGTTGTGGGCCAGATTACAGCCCGCAAAGATGTCCACGTCCTAATCCCCAGAACCTGTGAATATGTTAGGTTACATGGGAAAAGGGAGTTAAGGTTAAAGATGAAATTGAAGTTGCTACTCAGCCGACTTTAAGAAAGGAAAATTATCCTGGATTATATCCAGGTGAGCCCAGTGCAATCACAAGAATCTTTAAAAAATGGAAGTGAGAATCAGAGGAAGATGTAACTCTGGAAGGAGGCATGGAGGGATGCAACATTGCTGGTTTTGAAGATGGAGGAAGGAGGTCATGAGCCAAAGAAATGTGGGTAGCCTCTAGAAGCTGCAGGGCAAGGAAGTGATTCTTCCCTAAAACCTCCAGAAAGAAATGCAGCCCTGCCTACACCTTGATTTTAGGCTCGGGAAACTTGGGTTGGACTTCTACAAAAATGTAAGATAATAAATATGCCTTGTGTTAGCCGTTAACTTTGTGGTAATTTGTTTCAGTAGCAATAGAAAACTAATATATTGTCCCACCTCACTCATTTCTCCCTAGAAATAGAGGTCTAAATGGAGCAGTATTTCATGTCATGGTAATTTTTAAAGATTGCATGGCTGCCCTGTTATCTTGTGGGTATAGTTCCTGGGGTTGACTTATTGTTCTTGCTTTGTTACATTAATGTCCTCACACAACTCCTCAGCTTCATCTTGCCTTACTAAAGCATACTAATTTTCCCTCAGAAAATGAGTATTCTAGTCTTCCAGAAGCAGTGTTACCTTAGCATTTAATTTGGATCAGTTGAGGATTTTAATGATATCTACCCTTTCGCAGTCCTTGAATGCAATGAAAGTGTTCTGCATGGAGCAGAGCAGTTGAGCAATGGGGAAGAATCACACCTGGTTAACATAAAAAAAGTTACCTGGAATCTCAGTAGGGCACTTCAGTGCAGGATGACAGTGTCAGCTCTGAGGGGCAGCAAGCCCACTTCTGTCCTTCCCTGAGCAAAGAAAATTGTGTTAGTGGCGGGGGCCTCATGGGTTGAGGCTAGTAATTGTCAAGGAGTACCTATTTGCTCTTAACGCAAGTGCTGTTATTGCTGGCAGATCTTTATAATAATGCCTCTACGTAAATGAGTAGTGGGCTGTCTACTCTCTTGGAATTATAAACAGAACCACTTGAACTTTTAAACACTTATCAGTAGAACCACCTGCTGGAATTAACAGTCAAAGGGAGTCAGCAAGTGTTGGATACCCTAGTCTAGCAGTCTATCTGCTAAAAGAAAGAATACTTCCTTTATAAAAAAAAGTTGGGGGAGGGCCAAGGGGAAGTAGGCAGGGCAGTTCTTTGGCTTTACTTACTATGTCACAAACATACTGTTTTCATCCCAGAAAGTCGTTTCATCTGTTCCTAGACGTGTACCCGCTTTCAAACAGATGGACAGTTGTGTGACTTACTGACTACCAAGAGGTTTCTAAAGTCTGGATTGAAAAGCAAGGTGTATTTTTAGTATTGATTTTGACACTCACTGGAAACAACGTGTCTCCTCCCTTCTCCCTATCAAATGTGCATGCCCAGAATGAGTCCTTCCTAAAATGTTAAGTGTTGATTCAAAACTCACTTTTTATGTAAATTATACCTCAATAAATCTGAATAGAAAATAGCCTTTTAACCTCAGGCATAGCATATGAAATGTATTGTGTTATGTTATAATGCTCAGGTAGGTATGTATTTTGATGACAAGCAAGCTGTTATGACAGACCAGCCTCATGAAGACTTGTTTTCTGTAACAGTGCTGTGTGAATATGGGATAGCATGGACAGGACTCCATTTCTATCCTTAAAAGTGGTTCTGCTCAGTTTCTTTTGAATCTCATTTCAAGTAAAACTTGAGAATATATTTATGCTCTGAAGACCAACTCTGTGCTAGGTATTATTCATCGTAAAGAAATAAGCTTAATTTGTCCAATGCCAATTCAAACCAGTCAAACTGAAAGTAAATTCGATGGGTCAAAAATCAAACAAATGTGAAAAAGAGATAAAGTTGGGGAGGGATACTGTATAATATGCCAGAAAGAGGGTTAACATACTTATTATGTAAGAAGCCTGTATACCTAATGAAGTAGCGCTAACACCCAAATAGGGTTCGTGGTTCAGTGGTAAAAGTTCTTGCTTTCTGTGAAGGAGACCCAGATTTGATTCCAGCCACCAACCTTCCACCGGTGGAGGCTTGTGTGTTGCTATAATGCTGAATAGATGTCAGCGGAGCTTCCAGACTAAGGTGGACAAGGAGGGAAGTCCTGGTGATCTACTTCCAAAAATCAGCCAGTGAAAACCCAGTGGATTACAACAGCCCGATCCCCAACCAATCATGGGGATGGCACAGGACTGGACAGCGTCTGGTTCTGTTCTGCATGGGGTTGCCATGAGGCGGGACCCGACGGCAGTTAACAACAACACCCTAATACAAAAACAGGCAAAGGACATCAAGACAAGACACAGGTGTTCAGACAGCCAATAAACATGGAAAAAAGACAGCTTTTCGCCAGTCACCCTGGCAAAGATTAAAGAAAGAGAACGCTATGCAGCACTCTTATACAGGGCGGGACGGGGGGTGGGGAGGGGATGTAAATTAGTAGTCTTTCTGGAAGGCAGTTTAGTTTAACAAAACCTTTGAAAATTTTATATCCAATAGTTCTGTTTAAGAATCTTTCCCAGGGAGATCATCAGATGTGGACTGATATATAAGCTGGACATTATTTGTGATGGTGAAAACCTGAAAACCATCTAAATGTTCGGTCTCAGGAGATTATGTGGTGGTATACCCACATGATGGAGAGTTAAGTCGCTAAAAGCGATACATTTGTACAACTTTTAATGACATGAGAAGATACAGATTTTAGAGGGGGGATACAGAGTTTTACATAAGTAGATCAATTTTGTCAAAGAACTACACAGGAAAGATTAAGAAGTATGTTAATCAATTTAACTATCTGCAGCGCTCTTAGAATTCAGCCATCTGGTTTTTGGATGGTGTCCCAGAGGATATCTGAGGAGCAGTTTGCTATTCTCACAGGTAGTTGTTACCTGGTTTACAAAGGGAGCACAGGTCTGTTGTAATCAGTTTTAGTCAAGCAGTTTATGGCTTCGGCCTTGAAGGGGGGTGGTGTGGAGGGAGCGAGGCAGGTGGAGTGTTGGAATTGTCCCTGCAGTACGTATCCCATCCATGCAGGTCTGTCTCTTTGGATTAGAACAGAGAAAGACAGACTGCCACTCTGAGTGCTCCAGAAAACGTTCTTAGGCATTAACCTTCCATGTTTAGATGGTGAATCAGAAACGGAAAGCTGGTTCTATTCATCTCCATAGAACAGGAGTGGGTTTTTATAGGTAATTGCCAGGTTCTAACCTGTGCATTTACTGTTGCTTTATTCTCCTTAGGAAGCTCTAAATAAATTATATTTGTGTACATATATCCTTAATGTATCTTGGGTTTTAATCTCTTCCACATGAAACTGAATGAAAACAAATCAGGTGGCCTGGGCACTGGTACTCCTATGAGATCTTTGTACTGTATAAGAGTATGTGTAGGGAGGTGTTCGGCAATGTTTGAGGCTAAGGGAAAATTCTGGCTTTGTCCCTGATCTGTTATTTGTCTTCTGTCTCTGCAGTGATTTTTTTTTTTAAGTTTGTGGAAGCAGCTTGAGGACAGGATCACTGTACAATTCTCTAACCGACCTGGGATTAAGCATTCATAGCTAAGTGCTCGTTAGACTTTGTTAGCATAGAAAGTTCCAGTCAGTGTATTGTTTGCGAATATAAATCTAAATATTGGTTACAGTTTCTTTCTTGGAGGGTGGCCCCAATGTTGGTATGGGGTTGTTTGCATGGCAAATTCATAGTACCCAATAGATTTGTCATTTTACTTTGTTCTGTTGGGTCAGAAAAGGCCCATCTCCAAGGAACAAACTCCCTCAGATTTGTAAGGAAATGTTTCATAAAAGGTCCCTTAAGTCAGGTCTTTTAACTGATTTGGCCTTAGGGTCTGACTTCAAAACCCTGCAGTACAACACCAAAGCTTTTGAAACCGGATTCCCAGCTTTCTGTTCACATTCTGCACAATCCAGCTTTGTTCCCTCTGGCACTGGTCTGGGGACCCAGCCCACCCTTGCTTGTGGCTGATCACTGAGCTTTTAATAAACATCATGGACTGACTGTGTTTTCACCATGTGCCCACTAGGTGAAGCATGACTGGTTTTTATTTTCCTAGTCTGACACGAGGTGTGGTTGGAGATTTTGTTTGTGTGAGTTAAGGATGAGAAGAGAAGCTATTTACAAACAGCATTAGATGTGAAGTGTTATACCTTCCTTTGCCTGTCAGGTTGGTCAGTAATATCCCACACAATTGGACTTTAATTAATAGTTTGGCCAAAGACACAGAGTATGCCAGAATCAGAGCTTGAATTCTGGACTCCAGTGTGGTGGCCTGGTCACTAGAATGTGCTTCCATCAGCATTTGAAAGAATAAAGGTCATCGACTGAGCAGGAGAGATGCATTTTGAGAGGTTCTTTTGACAATTATCTGTACGTACACATTCCAGTGTTGGTGTCATGTGCTTTGAGGTAGGGCATTCCAGCAAGGTTATACTGTTAGAAAATTAACCCTAAAGTCTAGGAATTTGTTTTAGCTGTGGGATCTCACGGGCAGCGCTTACATCACTAATAATGATTTGTTGCTTCTATAGGAGACCAGAGAGTTGAACTGGCGGACGAGTGATCTGTCTCCCCCGAACACCTCTGGGAGCCACTGAGGGATGCATTAAAAGTCCCTTTATAGGCAGGTTGGGTTTGTTTTTAATGGTACTGTTTTATTCAGAGTGTCTCCTTGTTTTCAGAGTAAGCCCCAGTCTCCAAAGAGAACTGCTTCCCTTCGTCCCATCAACAGTGGCTCCAAAGAAAATGGAGTCCATGAGGAACAAGACCAAGAGCCACAGGATCTGTTTGCAGGCAAGTGTGGAAATGACTTTGTTAAGTTACTGAATTAAAGTCAAAAGCAAAAAGAAAACCATTGGAAACATAACTCTATGGAAGATACTATTGTGGAGGACTAAAAAAAATGTAAAATACAGGCCCTGCCATCATTACAAGTTTAGGGAGTAAGACATAAATATACAATTCTTGAAGAACAGGTGTTAAATAACTATTAAATGATAGTAAAAATGTGGCTAGAGGAAGGGTAGAAATACAAACAGGAGCTCATAGGAGTGTGAGATCACTAACTAAAGCAGTAATTTTAGATTTATGATGGAGACACATAGTCAGAAATATATTGTATGTCCTAATCCAGAATATATACATACTTGTACAAAACTGAAACAAAAGTTATTTGCCCTGGCTACTTCTGATACAATCTAAAATTTTCTATTGTTTCACTTTTTTTAATCCTCTTGGCAACCTATTGATTTCACAATCCACCAGTGAGCCACAACCTTCAGTTTGGAAAACACTAGTCTAGAGCAGGGTTTCCCAACATTGGTACTATTAACATTCTGGGATGGATAATTCCTTGTTTGGGGGGTCTACCCTATTCTCAACACATTTTGCCTCCCAGGAGACATTTGTCAATGGTTGGAGACATTTTTGGTTGTCACGACTGGGGGGGTGGGGGAGTACTAGCATCTAATGGGTGGAGACCATGGATGCTTCTAAACATCCTGCAATACACAGAACAACCCCTCACAACAAAGAATTATCCAGCCCAAAATGCCAGTAGTGCTGAGACTTGAGAAACCCTGGGCTATAGTGACCTTGAAAGACCTCCTGGAAGAAGCAGGATTTATGTAGGAGAAAAGGAGAAGTGTACAAATGGTGGGGCAGGCAGTGTAAGGTATGTTTGGGGGACAGTGCATGAGCTTGATGGGCCAAAGCAAGGGTTTCTTAGAGAAGCCGTGGAAGATAAGGCTGGAGATGTAGTTTGGGAGGATTTTTGACGTTGCTAATTGTAGGTTGAATTTTCATCCTAGCACCAGTTAAGAGTCATTGGCAGTTTTGAATAAGAAAAGTGATATGGGCACAGTAATGTTTTAGGAAAACTGATCTAGTGGAATTATGTAAGATGTATTGCAGTGGGCAAAGTCTGGAGGCTTTTCAGAAGGCAGTTAGTTCAAGAATAAAATGGCCCAGACCAGAATTAAGGTGATAGAAGTAGGATGGGAAAGGTGGAAACTTTTCAAAGAGGTATCAACAAAATCTGGTGTTAGTCCTTTTTAGCTCAGTGGTGAAGTCATCTCCGAGGTTCACCATTCAGCCTGGGAGTGGACAGCCCCATAAAACCAAATGGGACCAATGAGGTACAGCAGTCCAGGGACAAGGGCCAGAAGGCAGAAGAGGACAAGGAAGCTGGTAATAGGGAACCCAAGGTTGAGTAAGGGTAGTGTTGATGTGTTGTGAGGTTGTTAACCATTGTCATAGGGCAACATGTGTACTAACTGTTAAATGAGAAACTATTTTGTTCTGTAAGCCTTCATCTAAAGTGAGAATAGCAGCACAATTGGAAGAGCGTAGTCAATGTCACTGAACTGTGCATGTAGAAATTTTTGAAATAATTGGTTATGTATATTTTTACCAAAAAAAAAAAAAAAAAAAAAAAGGTCGAGAAGGGAGAGGGTTGACATGTTGTGGGGTTGCTAACCAATGTCATAAAACAATATGTGTACTAAAAAAAAAAAAACGATCCGGTGTTAGTGATTGGATATACTGTGTGTTCAAAAATGAGAATTGAGGACAAGAGTCAAAGGTTTCAAGTCCAAGGTTTGAGAGGAAAATGATAATATTTATAGAACCACATTCTAAAGAAAAAACTGGCTTTGAGGGAAGAGTGAGTTTAGATTTTAGATGTCTTAAGTTTGAAATGCAAAGGGAAATGCCCAGGAAGCAGTTGGAACTGTGGCATCTACCTGGGGAAGAGAGAAGACTGGAAATAAGGAGTGGTCTTCCTAGAGTCTCCTTAGAAGTGGAAGGTGCCGTGTGAGTAAACTCCTCTAAGGCACGAATGGTGGTGAAGAGGACAGATGAGAGAGCCAAGGGTAAGACCTTGGGAAGCCGCCCACATTAGATGTCTGGGGGGAAATTTAAAAGACGTGAAAGGAAAGAGGTCAGAAGAAGAAATGTAAAGATTTAGAAGATTTTCTAGTCCCTTTCATCCTTCAAGCTTAAAACGCACACTATTCATTCTGGTAGTGAACTATTTTTTGGATAAAGTTTCTGGAAGAGAAATGCAAGTAATGAATTATCTTTAAAACATGGCAGATTGAAAAGAATATAAATTTCCTATCTTTGGGATGTTACATTTATATGACCTTTCCTAATAAGAAGGCCTGAAATCTTAGTATGACCAACCAGTTACCCCGTGATTGGGTTTTCTGTACATGCACATGTAGAAATCTTTATTAGGGATGTATTTACTACTAATGAAGATTCTAATTTACTTCAGTCCCCTACCAGTTTCATGAGCAGTCAATACCTGCCTCACTACTAAGAAAGGAACAGCCAAGGAAGGAATGTCTGCAGTGAGATTTTAGGACTCCAGTAGCTTCTCAGATGTTTTAGATATTGACCATGGAGATTAAATGTTCAGATTTTATTTTCCATCTGACTAGTGATGATCAGTCTCTGGCCAAGCCCAAAGGCTTTCCCATTACTCTTAGCAAGAGTTCAAAGATAAAATCTTTTTTTAATGTAAGTTTTGGCATTCTTGTCAAGTGAATTTCAGTAGGAAATGCAGAGTTCTTCAAAAGGCTTTTGGTAGCACTCTAATAAGCCTGAGGCTTCAAATGCTCAGCACCTCCTGTTTCATTTCCACATGCATTTTTAACCTCATTACTTTGTGGGACTTCCATGATCCTCAACATACTTTATCTGCTTGTTTTTTTTTTGTTTTTTCAAAGAATCCTAAAGTCCTAATATGTTAATTTATGTATTTTTAAATATATACTTTTTTGTCTAAAAATTTTAATGCCTAAAAATGGTGCATAATGCTATTTTAAAAGTTTCCTCTCTCAAACACTCGAATGAGTCGCTCTCCTCAACTGTCCAGATAGCTGAAGGATGGGTCTTAACCAATTTTTTTTTTTTAAACTATGTTGTTTAGAAAGATTTTCAGATATTACATGTGTCCCTCCCCCCACTTGGGCAGCTGTATTAAATGTAGCTTAATCTTTGCAAGAGGACGTTCAGCCTTCATTGGGAGCAGTTCTCAAACTGGGCTGAAGTAGCCGTGTGTCCTCAGGTGTGGCCATGTTCGTTCCCAGGTATCACTCGGTTTGCACCCCGGATGCATTCCTTCTAACTTATAGTTTCCCTGACTCTTCCTTTGATGTCATTTTTTCCTGTCAGCACACCTGCCTCTTCTGTTGTATTGGTTTGTAAAGCAGGCAACTGAACTTATTCTTCTTTTACAAACCATTATAACAACAACAGATAGTGTTCATGTAAGTTTCTAAAGGCATAGTCCTAAGAGTAAAATCAATTGTCACACTTATTTTGGCTGTGTAGTCTTTCTGCTTGATCCCTGATTCTTGCCTGCATTCTGGGTAAGAGAGGGTAGCCACAGCAGTTGTTTCCAAAGTTTCCTCTGGAAAGAAGCGGGGTTGCTCTACCAAGAAAACTTTTTTTTTATCAGCCTGCCCTTTTATCCACATCAAAATCTCGTGACTCTTGTTCTCTTAGTCTAAGAACCTCTGAGTATTGAGAGTAGTTGCTATCATTCTTGTCTCTTGGCCTGTAGAATGAAATTCAGCCATCAAAGACTCATTGTTGACCTTGGTTTTAAATATCAACTCCTTTTAGATGCCACAGTGGAGCTATCCCTGGACAGCACTCAAAATAATAAGAAGGTATCAGCCAAAACGCTCATTTCTCTTCCACCACAGGAAGCCACACATTCTTCTAAGCCCCAGCCAAGCTATGAGGAGGTGAGAATATATGCTACTTGTCTTGTTTCTTTTGGATTTTTAGGACCCTATGCTACCATTCTGAAGTTCAGTTGCATATGAACCCTGAGAAAATATTTATGACTCTTGAAGAAGACCTTTAATGTTAGTCTACAGCCAGAACCCAATAAAGGACTCTTTCTTGGGCAGGGCGTCTGTTGCCCTGAGATTAGCACAGAGGCTTTCAGTGGTCACTAATGATATCTAGTGTCTTGAAGCTCCCATATTCAGGAGTATATTCTCTCCTCATTTCCTCCTTAGCCTGAAAGAGACGAGTCTTCCAGAATCCAATAATTACTCATTCTGATCAAAATAAAGTTTTACGGAAATAGATTTATCCAAGACCTTTGAACTGGCTGCCAACTTAAAATCACAAGGATTATTGGGAATGGACGGAGCTGAACACTGATACATAGAAAGATACATCTTGATCTTACTGTATTGATATAAGGTTAGAACAGGGTAAAATTAAGAGCTGTTTTTTTGGTATCAACTCTCATGATCTGTCTTCTCTTTAAAAAGCTAGAGGAAGAAGAGCAGGAGGACCAGTTTGATTTGACAGTCGGTATAACTGATCCCGAGAAGATAGGTAAGCATTCTTGGGATTCCTTGTGAAGTTAGGCTCTAGCTGTGAAAAGCGTAGTTAGCTGCTTCGTGGTTGGTTAACGCCATAGCTGAGCTAGCCCATGTGAAGTACTTCATCATTACCTTTCCTGTAAATTCTGCCCCTTGCTGTGCTTCTAAGGCCGGAAACTTGTAGTTACCCAGTACTTCATTAGGCTCTTCTTGGCTTTTAGAAGAAAAATCAGACATCAAATACTGCAAGAATCCCTTTTTAAAAACCTAAACGTTGCCTTCTCCTAGAGAGTTGATGAGAACATTTTATCCCCTCTTGAGATCATAAATTCCATTTAAGCACCCTAAAAATGCATATTCTAGAATTTTGGGATGCTGAACTTGTTTTTCTCTGAGAAGTTGGAAGCTCATGTTATGTATCATGTATCATGTACTGTCAGTATCCTGATGAGGTGAGAAAGTCTACATGTCTCTTTCATAGATAAGAAACTAAAGAACCTAGGTTGAATATTGGTCAGATTGAAACTAGACTTTCAAAAAAGCACAATACTTAACTTTGGCTAGAACCTGGATTTTCAGGATAGCCTTCCCCTGTCCCAAGCATGTGAGGGTTATCAGTGAGCAGAGAACAGTAGGCCTCAACTTTCCTTGTTCTGGGTATTGACCCTCATAGAGGAGACTGTGCAGAGCTTGTCCTCCTAAACAGAGGCGGTGTTTATATAGTTAAAAGGAAAAATTGCAATTCCCACCTCTCTCTCTATTCTAAACTCAGAACAGGAACTTATGAAGTCAAATTAGACTTTGTGCCAAGATAGTTTGTCGTTAAACTGTTGGATTTTTACTTTTCCTAGACTGTTGGCACTGGTAGGCTATTCATGAGCATCTTACACAGTTCCCTCATCTAACACTTGAGGAAACTGGGGACCAAAAAGTGAAGTAGCTTTCCTATTCAGGCACAGTTGTGGTTCATGGTAGAGCCTAGGGCAGAACTTAGGGTTCAGGTCTACGATTCTCACTTGCCTCTCTAATATTTAGGCACACTGATTTTAAGCTAGCCATTAGCTAGTTCTTAGCTGCTTTAAATCCTTGATGGAATAAAACAGGTTATAAATAAATAGTACTAATTGCTTTGGTATTGTGTTAACAAGTCATGATGTTCAAACACGAGAGAGAATAATTAAAACATCCCATGAGTCAGATTTATTTAAACACAAGTCACTCTTAGGTGATAAGCTTTCATCCCCTCGCACCACAGTCTAGATTTCTAGTCATGTAGATGCCAAGAAGCCAGCTACGTAAAGCCTTTTCATAATCAAGGCCTGATCTTTATGAGAACACCTTCTGTTTTGTGGGCTGGTTATTCAGCATGGGCTTCTCTTTTCCACACACATAAGTTAGAACCCTATTTCTATCAAGATATTATGTTTGGAGCCTTGGTAATTTGCATATGCCATCTTTTACTCTCAGGAATTATTTGGGAAATTTATGTGAACTTTAAGACTGCTGTATTATTAACCCATTGTCAGCTCTTGTGCTCTGTGTACGCATGCAAGTATGTTCGTTTTCACACACCACGTCAGTAAAGCAGCCGGCGGACAGGCAGTGTCTGAAGGTCCTGCTTTGCATCTTAAGTTGTTTGCACTTGGACTTTCCCAAAATTGCAAGCACTACTTTATGGGATTGACCTTATTTTTTCTTTTTTAATTGTAATAAATGTATATTTAAAAAATCATTTGCCAAGGACTGACCTTTTGGACATTTGAATCTGACTATTCTTCTGCGAATGAAATTTTGAATACTTTTTCTATGAACTGACTTTTTTTTTTCTGTCATCAGTGGTAAACATCCTTAGTAATATTTGGCAATGTAGTATAAGTGGTTTAGAAGAAAACTAAAGGGGGTAATCAGTGTAAAGTAATTTCTAAAGTGTAGCTGTTTTATACACAGCTTTTTGGTAGGGGCTGGGGAGGTAGAGAAGGCAAGCCCTCTATTCTGGTATAATCTCCAACTTCTCTGTGTACTTTATACAAGCAGTCATTTCCAGCCATTCCATTGAAACCAGCTGTAATATTTGACCCTCTTGAACCAGTACTGCCCCTTTCCTTACCCCCTCACCCCAGGACTACTTCAGGAGCTTAAGCTTAGGCATCTGGTAATTGTTGACAAGGTTTTTGTGTTTGGTATTGGGAGGATTCAGGGTGGGGAGTAAGGGAATAAACCCACCATGAAATACCATAGCCCAGCACTGGAGCTGTGTATGTCTAGATCCCAGTGTGTGTCTTCTCAGTGTTCAGACAATCATTGGTGCCTTTATCTCCCCAGGTGGTCTAGGTCAGGAGACTCCTACAGAGAAAAACAGTTGCTTGAATCCCAAGTTATTTAACAAAGGCTTTTTCAGAAAAATAATTCCTCAGGAAAGGGAGATTGTGTGGCATCAGGCAGCCAGACTGTTCCCTGCTAGGCCCTTAGCTGTGGGTGAGCATGCTAGGTCAGTGAGGTCAGTGTCTCCCAGCACCAATGCAAGGGACCGTGATGGCCTTTCTAAAAGAGCAAACTGAGCCTGGAGCCAGCCTAGGGTGGAACTGCTTGTTTCCTTTTACATCACTTGCTTCCTTCTCCTCCTCCTGCTTTACACAGCAAGGGAATTGTTTGATTTTGGACAGATGTGTGTAATCAGCCCAAATATTGGCATGGTAACAACTGATGGATTGTCAGTATCCAGTGCTGCTTTGTGGAAGGTATAAATGGAGCCTGGCGTTGGAACAGGGACTGACTTTCTTGTCTGACTCGAAACTGGGGCTCAGCCAGCATCCGTGGGGGCATGCTATGTCCCACAGAGGCAAGTAGGAACTGGATGCTAGGATGGCATGTAAAATTCAGAGATGAAACAAGTACCCCTTCTTATACGGGACTCCTATGATGCATGATTCCTGGTTAAATATTAGCTAGATTAACACTCCTTTGGTTTACACGGTAATCCTCTCCTGCTTTCTTCTTTTCCCACAGGAGATGGTATGAACGCCTACGTAGCCTACAAAGTTACAACACAGGTGAGTCCAGGTGACCCTGCTGATGTCCACCTTAAAAGGTGTGGGTGCTCACACCAAGGAGGGCATCCTTCGGATTAACTATGGTCTCCCTTTAGTTTGTTTGCCAACATCTTCCTTCACATTCACTCAAGACGGACAAGCCTCCTTCCCTTTCATGGTCTCATCTGGGTACTCTAGACTGAGCCTTTCCAGTTTTCTTCCAAATAGCTAACACTTCCATGCGGAACTTTGTAAGTGTTATGACGTGCAGTGTATCTGATATAGCCCCATCCCACTTAGGAACTATGGCTTAGCGCTACTGTGGTGGATTGCTCCAAGCTAAGAGTGTTCAACTGTTTCCACATCCTCAGTTTTTCCGAGGTTTCGTATGTGGAGCTTCTTTTAATGTTTCCCCTAACCTTTTGCCTCTCAGCCTGGTCTTCCTTTTTTATATAATACTAATGCATACAAAACATCGTATGTGAGATACAAAGCATAATAAAATGGAGCCCTGAACTTACCACCAATCTTAAGCTCAGTACCATTGAATCTACCTGTATGCTTCTCCCCATCACATCCGCTGCCTCTTAGCTTAGAGGCAGCTGCTCTCCGGAGTTGTCTCCCATTGCCTTTATTAAAAGTCTTCACATATGTATCCCTAAGCAGCAAGTTGTTTTGCTTTGTTTTTGAGTTTCTTAAAAATGGTAACATGCTGAAAAAATGGTGCTTTCTTCACTTAGTGTTGTTTCTCAGACCCATCCGTGTTGTGAGCAGTTTCGGTTAATCCATTGTGTGAATATACCACAATGTACTTATTCGTTTGCCTGTTCTGAACATTTGACTTGTTTCTAGTCTTTGTAATTATGAACCAGGCACATTCTTACACGTATCTCCTACTGCGCACACAGAAAAGTTTCTCTAGGATATGTAACCAGGAGTACTTCTTGGGTCATAGGTAGTGCAGATGTTGAAATTCACAAGGAATGAAAACTATTTTCCAAAGTCTTTGTACCAGTTTATGCGTCCACTGGCAGTGTGTAAAAGTTTCCATTGATTCGCTTCTTTGCCAGCATTTGGCAAGGCTAAGTTTCTTAAATTTTGCCTATCTGGTGCGTATAAAATGATCTCTCATTATGATTTAGGCCTAGTCTTTTTTTTACTAGAAGTCTCCTTTGTATTGTCTCCCTACTGCTTGTTGGCCTGCCTCCTTGGAGTGCTAGCTCCTCTGACACTAGAGGTTAAAGTGTCTGCAGCTTAGACATGTCATCTTCTGTCCCTTTAGAAGCCCTGTTTAGACTGTCTTTCTCTAGTTTGGCTGCTCTAATTCCAGCAGCTTATACCCTTAATAAGTCAGTACAGGATGGATGGGTTATAGGTGACCATAAAATTCTTGTATTAAGCTAGAATTCTGCATGTTTCCGTAGAGCAAGAGTTCTTAACCTGAGGATGAAACTGTGTTTGAGTTTATTCGGTTCCCTTTGTAATCCTATCTTTAGTTTATGTGTTTAAAATCATCCCGAGAAGTGCTCCCTAAGCTTCCCCAGAAAAGGGGACTATAACTCAAAAAAGTTTAAGAAGCTCTGCCTTGGAGAAGGTTAGTTGCCAAGCAGCTAAAGGGCGGGGATCTGGGAGATGTATTCCTTTGATGGCACCCTGATGGCTTTCAAGATACTCATTCATCCCAATTTGGAATGAATTTGCCTTGTGTTTTTTCTGTCCCCAAGACGAGCTTACCAATGTTCAGAAGTAAACAGTTTGCAGTGAAAAGAAGATTTAGTGACTTTCTGGGTCTTTACGAGAAGCTTTCAGAGAAACACTCTCAGAATGGCTTCATTGTCCCTCCTCCTCCTGAGAAGAGCCTAATAGGTAAGACTATGGTCTTTAATTCCACTGGGATTTTTCCCTTTACCTTCTTTCTTCCTTTAATATAATTACTGTTTGGTATATATGAGACTACGTCTATTAACAGTGTAAAATCTTGTGGTTAGGGAAAAAAAAGATATATCCAGTGTTTTCCTATAAATCACCTGAGGTCTGGAGAGAGTCTATTTTGACGTGTCCTCTTTCCACAGATGCAGTAGGGGCTCTGGTTTCAGCCCCCAGAGTGTTTTGTTTGTTCTTCTTAGTTGGTATCCAGGAGTCTTGAATGATTGCTGTTCCCTCTAGATTGAAGCGTACTGAATTGTGTGGGGTGGGTGGGAGGCCTTTCCATCTCCGTCAGCTGATGCTTGTTCATCTCTGCTCAGAGCCCCACAGCACAGATGTCTGCAGTGTAAGTCCCAGGATTCAGAACCTTCAACACTTAGACTAGTTAAAGAATGACTCTTGTGTAAAAAACCTTTTGTTCATGTTTGTTCATGACATATAAGTGGCCTTAAGTTCTGTTTTGCTTTGTTCGTTGGTTTTTTTTTGTTTGTTTGTTTTAATTGTAGCAAATATGTATATAACAAAACATTTGCCAGTTCAGCATTTGTTCACATGTAGAGTTCAATGACATTGATTACGTTCATCATGTGGTTCACCTATCACCACTATCACTGGTTCCAAATGATTCCATCACCATTAACAGAAACCCAGTGCCCCCTAAGCAAAGACTCCCCTTTTCCCACTCCCTCCTGCCCCTGGTAACCACTAATAAACTTTGGTTTATTTGCATATTCTAGATATTTCAAATAAGTGGGATTATACAATATTTGTCTTTTTCTGACTGACTTATTTCACTCAGCATAGTAGTTTCAAGGTTCATCCATGTTGTAGCATGTATCAGGACTTCATTTCTCTTTATGGCCGAGTAGTTTCCACTGTTTGTCAGTTTGTCGTACTGTAGGGGCTTGCCTGTTGCTGTGATACTGGAAGCTATGCCACCAGTATTCAAATACTAGCAGGGTCACCCATGGCAGACAGGTTTCAGCTGAGCTTCCACACTAAGACAGACTAGGAAGAAGGACCCAGCAGTCTACCTCTGAAAAGAATTAGCCAGTGAAAATCTTATGAATAGCAGCGGAACATTGTCTGCTATAGTGCCGGAAGATGAACCCCTCAGGTTGGAAGGCACCCAAAATATGACTGGGGAAGAGCTGCCTCCTTAAAGTAAAGTTGACCTTAATGACATGGATGCAGTCAAGCTTTCGGGACCTTCTCATTCAAAATGAGAAGAAACAGCTGCAAACATCCATTAATAATCGGAACGTGGAATGTATGAAGTACGAATCTAGGAAAATGGGAAATCATCGGAAATGAAATGGAACACATGAACATCAATATCCTAGGCATCAGTGAGCTGAAATGGACTGGTATTGGCCATTTTGAATCAGACAATCATATGGTCTACTATGTCAGGAATGACAGATTGAAGAGGAATGGTGTTGCATTCATCATAAAAAAGAACATTTCAAGATCTATCCTGAACTACAATGCTGTCAGTGACAGGATAATATCCATATGCCTATAAGGAAGACCACTTAATACGACTGTTATTCAAATTTACACACCAACAAAATTTTTACCAACTTCTGCAGTCTGAAATTGATCGAACATGCGATCAGGATGCATTGATAATTACTGGTGATTGGAATGCAAAAGTTGGAAACAAAGGAGAAGGGACGGTAGCTGGAAAATACGGCCTTGGTGATAGAAACGATGTCGGAGATCGCATGATAGAATTTTGCAAGACCAACGACTTCATTGCAAATACCTTTTTTCACCAACATAAACGGCAACTATACATGTGGACCTCGCCAGATGGAATATACAGGAATCAAATCGACTACATCTGTGGAAAGAGATGATGGAAAAGCTCAATATCATCAGTCAGAACAAGGCCAGGGGCTGACTGCAGAACAGACCCTTAATTGCTCATATGCAAGGTCAACTTAAAACTGAAGAAAATTGGAACAAGTCCACGTGAGCCAAAGTATGACCTTGAGTATATCTCACCTGAATTTAGAGACCATCTCAAGAATAGATTTGACGCATTGAACATTAATGACCGAAAACCAGATGAGTTGTAGAATGAGATCAAGGATATCATACATGAAGAAAGCAAGAGTTCACTAATAAGACAGGAAAGAAAGAAAAGACCAAAATGAATGTCACAACAGACTCTGAAACTTGCTCTTGAATGTGAAGTAGCTAAAGCAAAAGGAAGAAATGGTAACATCAAAGAGCTGAACAGAAGATTTCAAAGGGTGGCTCGAGAAGACAAAGTAAAGAATTATAATGACATGTGCAAAGACCTGGAGCTAGAAAACCAAAAGGGAAGAACACACTCGACATTTCTCAAGCTGAAAGAACTAAAGAAAAAATTCAAGCCTCCAGTTGCGACATTGAAGGATTCGGTGGGGAAAATATTAAACGACGCAGGAAGCATCAAAAGAAGATGTAAGGAATACATAGAGTCACTAAACTAAAAAGAACTGGTTGACGTTCAGCCATTTCAGGAGGTAGCATATGATCAGGAACCAATGGTACTGAAGGAAGAAGTCCAAGCTGCACTGAAGGCGTTTGGCGAAAAACAAGGCTCCAGGAATTGACGGAATACAAACTGAGATGTTTCAGCAAACAGATACAGTGCTGGAAGTGCTCATTCGTCTTTGCCAAGAAATTTGGAAGACAGCTGCCTGGCCAACTGATTGGAAGAGATCCATATTTATGCCTATTCCCAAGAAAGGTGATCCAACTGAATGTGGAAATTATCGAACAATATCATTAATATCACACACAAGTAAAATTTTGCTGAAGATCATTCAAAAGCAGCTGCAGCAGTATATCGATAGGGAACTACCAGAAATTCAAGCCAGATTCAGAAGAGAACGTGGAACCGGGGATTTCGTTGCTGATGTCACATGGATCCTGGCTGAAAGCAGAGAATACCGGAAAGATGTTTACGTTTGTTTTATTGACCGTGCTAAGGCATTTGAATGTGTGGATCATAACAATTTATGGAAAACATTGTGAAGGATGGGAATTCTGGAACACTTAATTGTGCTCATGAGGAACCTATACATAGATCAAGAGGCAGTTGTTTGAACAGAACAAGGGGATACTGCGTGGTTTAAAGTCAGGAAAGATGTGCATCAGGGTTGTATCCTTTCACCATACCTATTCAATCTGTATGCTGAGCAAATACTCCAAGAAGCTGGACTATATGAAGAAGAACGGGGCATCAGGATTGGAGGAAGACTCATTAACAACCTGCATTATGCAGATGACACAACCTTACTTGCTGAAAGTGAAGAGGACTTGAAGCACTTACTGATGAAGATCAAAGACCACAGCCTTCAGTATGGATTGCCCCTCAACATAAAGAAAACAATGATCCTCACACCTGGACGAATAAGCAACATCATGATGAACAGAGAAAAGATTGAAGTTGTCAAGGATTTCATTTTGCTTGGATCCACAGTCAACACCCATGGAACCAGCAGTCAAGAAATCAAAAGACGTATTGCATTGGGCAAATCTGCTGCAAAAACCGCTTTAAAGTGTTGAAAAGCTAAGGTGTCACCTTGAAGACCAAGGTGCTCCTGACCCAAGCCGTGGTGTTTTCAATCGCCTCATATGCATGTGAAAGCCGGACGATGAATAAGGAAAACTGAAGAGGAATTGATGCCTTAGAATTATGATGTTGGTGAAGAATATTAAATATACCATGCACTGTCAAAAGAACAAACAAATCTGTCCTGGAAGAAGTACAACCAGAATGCTCCTTAGAAGCAAGGATGGCAAGACTCCATCTCACATACTTTGGACATGTAATCAGGAGGGATCAGCCCCTGGAGAAGGACATCATGCTTGGGTAAAGTATAGAAGGTCAGTGAAAAAGAGGAAGACCCTCAACGAGATGGATTGACACAGTGGCTGCAACAGTGGGCTTAAACATAACGATTGTGAGGATGGCGCAGGACTGGGCAGTGTTTTGTTCTGTTGTACATGTAGGGTCACTGTGAAACCAACTCAGCGGCACCTAACAACAACAACAACAATTTCCATTGTATGTATATACCGCATTTTCTTTATCCGTTCATCTGCTGATGGACCTTTAGATTGTTTCCACCTTTTGGCTACCGTGCTGCAATGTACAGTGGTGTACAAGTTTCTGTTTGCGTTTGTGCTTTCAGTTCTCTTGTGGATGTTCCTAGGAGTGGAATTGCTGGGTCGTATGGTAGTTCTGTTTTTAACTTTTTGAGGAACCATCAAACTCTTTTCTACAGTGTATGTACCATTTTGTATTCCCACCAGCAATGGATGAGAGTTCTAATTTCTTCACATCCTTGCCAACACTTATTTTCCATTTTTTTTCATCATAGCTATTCTAGTAGTGGTGAAGTGGTTTCTCATTGTGGTTTTGATTTGCGTCTCCCTAATGGCTAATGGGGAGCCCTGGTGGCACCTAGTTAAGAGCTTGGCTGCTAAGCAAAAGGTCAGAAGTTTGAATCCACCAGCCGCTGCTTGGAAACCCTATGGGGCAGCTCTACTGTGTCCTGTGGAGTTGCTATAAATTGGAATCGACTAGACAGCAACGAGTTTGTTTGTTTTTTTAATGGCTAATGATGTTGAACATTTTTTTCATGTGCTTGTTGACCATTTGTATATCTTCTTTGGTGAAATGTCTATCCAAGTCCTGTACACATTTTTTAATAGGGTAGGTTGTGTTTTGTAGTACTGCCCTTGTTCTTCCTGTGGGCTTTTTTTTTATTTACAGATTTACTATTTTTATGATTTATGATTTTTTTTTTTTAAATTCCATTCCAGGAATGACAAAAGTGAAAGTTGGGAAGGAAGATTCTTCTTCTGCAGAATTTCTTGAAAAACGAAGGGCTGCTCTAGAAAGGTAAGTGTCGTAAATGATAGCCATTTCCCAGAATAACAAGTAAGAAGCTGACGCTGAGACTTAGTTTTGAGCCATTCGCTCGAGTTAGTGGAGATGCGTCTCTGCTGCCTCTTTCCCAAGCCACTTACCTTCCTGACTTAGGGACAGGTCACCTTTCTTTTTCCTTTCCTGATCTCGAGTGAGCAGACAATCATATTCTCCTTCTCGGACAGTCATGTAGGAATGACCCTGTGATCTCCCTCTGACAGGTCATTTTTCTGTCCCCTTCTGGAAATGTGAAGAACATGAACTTGAATGTGGTGACAAGCAGCGTCTTACTTACATGTCTTATCTGAGGATGTTTTAAAGTAACGAAAACCTTAGTGCCCCCACCAGAACTGTGTGATGCCCAGAACCTTGTGAAGCGGGATTGACTAACCAGATGATGACTGTTTACCCTTCAGGTACCTTCAGAGGATTGTGAATCATCCAGCCATGGTACAGGACCCTGATGTCAGGGAGTTCTTGGAAAAAGAAGAGGTTAGTTTTGTACAAACTGAATTTCTTAATTTTCATTTGCTCCTTAGTGAAATGAAACTAGTTCATTCAACAAATATTTGAGTACCTAACATGTTTATAGCCTAGCACCAGAGTATATCCTAGTTTCACGAGCCCTCAAGAGTAATAAGTTATTTTTCAGCCTTTGAAATGAAAGAAGCTCCTTGCCAAAAAAAAAAATAAAAAAGCTGGTTGTAGAGATCAAACTGCATCCTAGTTTTGTCTTACTGGATCAACACAGTGATCCATTTAGCAAGTCCTTGGTGTGTCTTTCATAGATTACTGCTTGGCTCAAATTGAATGCCTATTTTTGTGCCAGGAGCTGAGGGGCATTGGTTAAAAACCATTACCACAGACCATAGAACTGCTATGTAGCAAAAGTGTTTATTAAAGTGGACAGTCTTTTTTACAGGCTACGTGTAGGCTATTCATGATTGTGAAAAATTGGAGACAGCCCAAATGCTAACAATTGAGGATTTAAGTAAAATATATCAATACAACAAATACTTTATTCTCATCATAAACAGAAACTATACAGAAATGATTGTACTTGTAAGCATGTATTAAAAGAATTATAAAAAGAAAACCATAAAATAGCATATAGATATAGCTATAGAAATGTGCAAGTTACTAAGGACAGCACAATTTCAGAATCTCTCAGGACCTGTTAAGTCCAGCTGTGTGCAGAGTATGCTAATCCAGAGAACTTTGGCTTTCAACAAAAGTATGTGTAGTGTTTAAGTGGTTCCTGCCTGAGCGGGGAGAATATGTCAACGTGCAGTCACCGCGCCACATATCAATCTACTTTCTTTCTGCACACAATGTCAAAAGCTGAACAATGTGCTGATTCTGTTTAGCAGAGTTATTGGATTTCGCCTTCTGTACGCGCTAGTTGTCGATTCGTCTGACCTTGAAAACAATCTACAGTTCAAATAATTTGTTTGGCAAGTTTTGGGCACGCTGTCTGATGAATACTGATTCTTCTGAACCTAAAATAGGGGCAGCAGATAACTTGCCATCCCCGCCTTCTTGGTCTTGTAGCTGCCACGCGCCGTGAGTACCCAGACGTTGAGTGGCGCTGGTCTCCTCAAAATGTTCAACAAAGCCACAGATGCAGTCAGCAAAATGACCATCAAGATGAATGAGTCAGACATTGTGAGTACCCTGATGCCTCTCAGAACTTCCCATCCCTCAGGCTTATGGGTCAGAAGCCCTGAGGAGTCCTGAAATGTCTGAGACTAGAGACATTTTTTTTTTTTTTTAGATAATTTAGTCCCTTTTTTTTTTTTTTTTTTAACTGCTAAGGGAAAACTGAGCTCTGTACTTGTGAGAGTGACCTCCACTGAAGCTCTGGGCTTGTGTGTTTCAGTGGTTTGAGGAGAAGCTCCAGGAGGTAGAGTGTGAGGAGCAGCGCTTACGGAAGCTGCATGCTGTTGTAGAAACTCTAGTCAACCACAGGAAAGGTAACAACCTCTGAAATGCACTTGGAGCTGGGGGAGGTTGCTGCACGTCTCTGGTGAGCTGGAGACAGGAGGGCATGCTGTTCCCAAATCTCTTAGTAATTCAAGTTGAAATTCTCAGCCCACCTGGTCCTTGGTGTTCTGATCAAAAAGATACGCCCTGCCATTTCCTGGCAGGAGACTACTTCAGCCACTGTGGGCTTCATACTTTCTAGCTGGGAGGGGTTCAGGGAAGCCATCCCAGATACAGCATGACCTGGTACATGGGTATCTGGTACATGTTGATATGGTTTGAATTGGTGGCTTATATCCAAAATGATGCCACATATGCTTTAGCTACATGGTCAAACCAGCGGTATGTAAATGTGGGGGAACCTTATGTCTCCTAACCCTTCTTCACCTTTCTTTAGTGATATTTGCTTAAAAAGCCAGTGAAATTTGGCAAGTTTGAATGCTTTCCTTCTCTGCCTTAAATATGCCAGTGGGCAGAACTCTAAGCAGGGAGAAGACCAGTAGCATGAGGCCAGTGTAAGGGGCTAACGGATTGTGTGTGTTGGGGGCAGGGTGTGGCCCACAAAACCTAAATGTTTGCTCTCTGGCCCTTTACAGAAAGAGCTCACTGACACCTGTCTAGAACGTGCAGGACTGTGTGTGTGCGCATGTTCAGGCTCTAGTGTAGACAGGCGCTTTATCATAAAGTAAGAATCATTCCTTTTGCCTGTTTGTGTTAACTGGCTCTTAGTTCTCCAGGAAGGTTGGAGAGGCTTCTTCCAGGCAGGCCTAGCCTAGTGAAACTTAACGACTAGTGCCTCTTGATGTTGCCCCTTTGACCAGGCTGCTTTCCCCTCAGTTTCGGAGTACAGGTGACTGTGGTCAGTACAGGTGACTGTGGTGAAAGTGACTGGCTGCAGGGCCCCCAGTTTCTGGCCATGTGGGGTGGAGCATTGCTAAGATGTGATGTGCAATGCCAGCTGACCTGTCCCTGTTCCGTGTGAGATCACAGTAGCCTCTGCTGTCTTTCCCTCCTTCCAGAGCTAGCGCTGAACACAGCCCAGTTTGCAAAGAGTCTAGCCATGCTCGGCAGCTCTGAGGACAACACGGCATTGTCACGAGCGCTCTCCCAGCTGGCTGAGGTGGAAGAAAAAATTGAGCAGCTCCACCAGGAACAGGCCAACAATGACTTCTTCCTCCTCGCTGAGCTTTTGAGCGACTACATTCGCCTCCTGGCCATAGTCCGCGTAAGCTTCTGTTTCCTTTCCCCTTTCTTCTCCCCTGGATTTAATTCTCTTGCTTTTCTCTCCCCCTTCTGAGAAAGTTTCATCCCGTTGCAGCTCGTAAATAGGTATAACTTTTTCTACTCTTGAAAGAAAAAGAGTAAACCAAACAATACATTTAACTTTAGCTAGTTGTTACGGAGTCATCTTGAGGCTTACAGCCAGTTTCATAGATGCACTGGGAGAAAAGGCCACTCTTGAATTCCCAGGTAGGCTCCCCCTTAGTGTTCAAGCTGGATGGCATCCTCTGTGCTCCTTTCTTCAGGCAAGGCTTATTACTGACCTGCTGCCCTGGCCCCCAGAGCAGTGACTTCCTTAGTCCTTTGGTCTTTGCCTCCCTAACAGTAAGCCACGGCTTTGCCCTGGTAAGAGCTCTTGCTGGCTTCCACTTGTCCCTCCAGTGTGAGCCGTCAGGTAACTACACGGAACGGGCTTGGCATCGCATGGAGGAGTGTAGCCAGGAGGCTGAGAGAGCTTTGTCACTGGAGCCCTGCGTGTGCTGTGCTGACCACACTGGTAACAGCATTGCAGCCTGCCCCCTCAGATCAAGCACCTGACGTTTTCTCCCGGTGATCAGGGCAGTCTGGTCTCCCATGACCTCTCAGAGCAGCCACGGAAGCTTGACTGGGCAGTGGTGCTAGCTCTCACATGGCCTCTCTGGGACAGAGGAAAGAGCCGAGAAGGAGCCTGGCACCTGCCCTGTTGAAGGGTCTGAGTCTGTCCCTGATTTGGCTGGGGACCAAGACGTGTGAGCCTCTGAGTTGGAGCAGAGCCACCCCTTACCCAGCATACCCCCTGCAGGGAGCTCCTGCGTTGTGAGCTGAGCTGCTGCTCCCAGAGCTCTGTTTCCTCCGTGGTGGAGCTGCTGACCAGAGCCTGTGGGATGGCGCCGTGTTCTCTCCCTTTGCCGTTTGGTTTGCTGCTGACTCAAGAGTGATAAGAAGCTTGAAAAATACCAGCTGTGGAATTCTTAGAACTGGTCGGACTGCTTAGATTGCAGAGGCATCCCAGGGCGGGGCCCTCTCAGGGGAAGCTGTCAGAGAGGAGCACTGTTTGAGGTCTTCTCTGGAGAACACAGCTCTTGGATATGACCCCCGCAGGGTCAGGGTGAGCTTGTCTGCAGCAGGGAGCGGGAAGCCTAGCCTAGAGCTCCAAATGCTGGGCTGGGGAGGCATGCCTCAGCACAGAGGTGTAAGCTGGCCTTTCCTCAGAGACCCTTCACCTGCCCGCCTCATAATCATGAGCTGATGGTGGGACTGGAGAGGTGAGCAGATCTTTCCTGCTCTCCACTGAACCTGGAGCTGGACCACTGTTGGCCCAATGGATTGAGTCTTACTGGGAAACGAGATCACCATTTACCTAATCCTTTCATGCGGAAGTGTCACGAAATTGCAGGTGAATAGCAGCGACGATGCTGGGGAAGGTGAATTTAGTGGCGTTGCTCTCCCTAAGGCCCAAGTTTTGGCAGAGGCCCACACTGAGAACTTCTGCAGAGAAGGGAAGGGAAACAAATGGAACCAAGCTGGGAGCTGGCCCCAGGCATAGATCTTTGATCCAGGCTGCCTCTTGAAGCACACAAAGAAAATAGGGGGGGTGGTGCTTAGTTAGCCCAACAGCTGCCCTTCCCTGGAAGTGCTGATTGTGGTCAAGGCACTGAAAACAGGGAAACCCAGCGAGCAGACTTTGAAGGAGCTTCTTGGAGGCCTTGGTAGCCTAGGACAATTGAGTGTATGGTTGGGATGAAAGCAAGCTGTCTGTGTGGTAGTTTTAAGTGTTTATCTACAGATTTGTCAGTCTAACCCTATTCACCATTTGGGTCTAAGTTTAAAGGTGGCTTCCTCAGGTTGGCCTTCCCTGACATCTCCAGGCTAAAAACCCTGATTTCTCAGTACTGCACACTTGTAATTCTGTGTTAGTAATTGTTAATGTAACGTTGGCCTCCTCTGTTAAATTGTAAGTGCCATGAAAGTAGGACTATGCTTGTTTCATTCCTCCCAGTGTTCCTAGCTCCTGGCACATGGCAGGGACACAGGAAAGGTGTGTAGGCTCATGGGCTGACTGAACTGAGGGAGACAGTTCAGAAGCCCTAGTTTTGGGCATTGGCATCAGGCCAGCTACTGTGCTCCCAGCCGTCCGGCCCGGGGAGTAGCATGAAGCAGCATGGCGCTGGCCCACGGGAGGCTTGGGGAGTAGTCTTACCCAAACTTGGGCTTTCAGACATAAAACTTACCAGTGGAGCACTCACATGTGGCTGTAGAACCTGCCCTTGCTCTGTCCTTCCTTGACACAGCTGCAGGGAGAGCCTCCTCCGGCGCAGAGCCAGCGGAGCTCTTGAAGGGCTGGTTGTCTCCCCGCCCCCCACAGGCTGCCTTTGACCAGCGCATGAAGACCTGGCAGCGCTGGCAGGATGCTCAAGCCACACTGCAGAAGAAGCGGGAGGCTGAGGCCCGGCTGCTGTGGGCCAACAAGCCTGACAAGCTGCAGCTGGCCAAGGATGAGATCGCAGAGGTGAGTCTCCCAAGGCGGCCCAGTGTGGATATTCTGCCGGCTCCTGAGTGAGTTTGGGTCCCCTCCCACCCAGACACTCAGAAGCCCACAGCAGGCAAAGAGCTTACCACGTCTGTAGGACTGGGACTGCCTGTGAAGCACCTGACGGTGATTGCATGCCCGCTTTGAGGCCTGGCCCTCCACTGTTCCCCCTCTACCCCGGACTTGCCAAATCAGAATCTCTGGAGGGGGGGTCCTGGCATGGGTCTTTGAAAAGCTCCCTACCTGATTCTGATATACCCACCTGGTGAGAACTAAATTAAGTTCCTCACGGCCCCTGTGTTCCCACGAGCCCCTGACATGGCCTTCTGCTGGACTCTGATTTATGTGCTGAATCCCCTTTTGATAGCTGATCTCCCCCAGAGGGACAGACAGACATAATGATCAATTGAGGTCTCGTGTAGAGTTGCTGTGCAAATGTAAAGGCTTAATAACGATTCCATAATATTAAGTGAGCCTCTCTTTCCTCTTTCTTCCCAGTGGGAGTCTCGGGTGACTCAGTATGAAAGGGACTTTGAGAGGATTTCAACAGTGGTTCGAAAAGAAGTGGTACGGTTTGAGGTGAGATAGAAGGTCTGCTCCTCAGAGTGCAGTGCCTGTTGTGGTAGCGCTGTTCGTTTTGTCCACATATACTGAGAAGGGAGACAGATGGGGGTGCCAGTGACTTGGCAGTCCCTCTTTCTGTGCATGCGTGTGTGTGCGCGTGTGCGTGTGTGCATGTGTGTGTGCACGCGCGCGCACGCACGCACGCCTGGGGGAATGGCTGCTCCGCTCGTGGCTGGACCAGAGCAGTTAGACATAAACCAAAGCTTGCAGCTGCTGTATACCCTGCAGTCCTTTATCCTTTCTCCTCCCTCCCTCACCGCTCACCCCTC